CAACTCTGGACACAACCCCTGAGGGGTCAACACAAGAGTCAACGGACAGGACAACAGCGGAGACGACTGCGCGGCCAACCGCTCGGCAGATGTCCGGACCGGCGTTTGTCTGCCCACAGGAGGACATAATCAGCACCGGGTGTGAGGGCCCGAAGGACTGCCTCTACGCCAACCCCCAGAACTGTCACACATTCATTGAGTGCACCGTTAACTCGGATGGCGTGTCGGGAACCCCTCAAGTGATGCCCTGCGCGGCACAACTCGAGTGGAATGACCGCAAAAAAGAGTGCGATTACCCGGAGTTCAGCACCTGTCCCGACCGGTCCACACCCCGGCCCTCAACCACTCACACGCCCACCGATACTACGGTTACCGATAAGAACACTCAGGGAACCACCGGTACTGAAGAGCCCACCACTACTCCGGAGCCGACAGATGAGAGAACTCTGGGATCAACTGAAGGGTCGACTCAGAGGTCCACTGAAGAACCGGTGGACACGACTACACCCAAGTCCACGGATAAGCCCACGACTACTGAGGAGACTAGCGATGGACCGACACAGGGATCAACTGAAACGCCCACCGATAGAACGACGGGCGCAGAGCCCACACAGGGAACCACTGATGACGCAAATCAAGACATCAAACAACAGGTATTTTTAAAAAAATAATTAACTGTTTATTGAATTTTTAGTATTTTTTGTCTCAAATTTTAGCCAAAATTCTATGCGAGAGATTCTTTGGATCGTTTTGGTGATGATTTATTCGGGCATTTGTTGTCTTATCTCTCGCTGGAAGACCGCTTCCGACTGGAATCTGTGTCCAAACAGTTCCAGAGAACAGTCTTCGGAAGTGTTGTCGAAATCTGGATTAGCGATAATTTAAGCGCAAACCCTTTAAAGACACTAATATTGGCCACAATTGTCACGAAATGTCCAAACATTCGACGCGTTGACTGTCGAGGATTGACATCATCTGAAGAACTCGTTTCCGAAGTGATCAACGCTTTTGGAGACAATTTGCCAGACATTCGATATACGTTTGGACCAAATAGTGACCAATTTTTGCCTATTTTTGGATCACGTGTCATACAATTGACTATATGGGACCGTCCGGCCAATCAGTCACTCATACATTGCCACCGATTATCTCACTTACAATTCAATCAGTTGTCCGAAGTCTTCGACACCACTTCCGGACAATTATTGGTAAACAATATACAGGCAATTGATGTGCCATTCGATTCGGGACCCGATAAGCAAATGTTTGCGGCATTTATTTCGGGCAATCAGTCCCTCAAACGTATAGCAGTTATTATTGATCGGGATTTGCCCGAAATGTTGGGACAATTGTCACGTTTGACACAATTGAAACAATTGTCACTTCATTTATGTTTAAATGATTGCCACATCAATGGCCAGACATTGAATCCATTGAGATATTATAAACGATTAAAACGCTTAGAGTTATCGCTGTCTTCGCCAATCGATCACCAATTGTTGGAACCGTTGAAACTGTGCCACGGATTAACACATTTAACACTATATTTCAATCCAATAAATGGTAAATTATTTCAAAATTGTGACAAAAATTGGCCGCGACTTAAATGCCTGACATTAGGGTATATCAGATATATTGGTATTTCGCAAACGGATTACATGATAAACAGCGAGTTTTTGGTTGACATTTTAAAACTACCGGCGCTTCAAATGTTTGTCATCCATAATTGTCATCCAAACTATTATCTCTCGGATTATGATTTCACTCATCTGTTGTCCACAAGTCCTAAACTAAAGGGCATTCAATTCAATGGATATGACATTTATTGCAGAAGTTTTAGTAATTAATTGTTTAAATTTTTATATTTCTAATATTTAACCTTTTTTAGTTTATTTTATTGTTATTATATTATTAATATTATTAGTTTATTATATTATCGAAAATAATTTGAATGTTTTAAATAAGACTAATAAAATAATTAATGTTTTAATATAAGTTGATGTTTATTGATTATTTAATTAATTTTAATCATGGTTAGATTGCAACCAATAATAATTAATTGATAACTGACTGGTAATTATTATTAACATCAAAATAGTTATACTCTATTTTGCTGCGATATGTCCCTGAATAATTTCCTTATTAGCGCATGTAGCTTTTAATTAAACATAATTATATTTATTAAAATAATACTTTTAAAATAGTTTTCAATAAACAATTGATAGATAATTAATACAAGTAATCAATGGCTTATATACCAATTGAATAGGAAATACATTATATTATATAAACATTATATAAACTAAAACATTATTATTGACATAAATTGCATAACAATTGTAAAATTGAAAGGAAGTCAAACCTTAACTCAAAACAATTCACAACAGATTTATAGAACTTTAAATTAAAACATTTTGTTTACACTTATATTTCCGCTCTCTACAATATTTCAAAAGTTTTATTTAATTTTAAGTCATTCACTGTTATATGTGTTTCAGAGAAAGGCATTGTATTTTGAGATCAGTTTTTTCCAAATAATTTTGTTAATTAAATATAAATTTCAATCAAACTATTTATACAATCATTTCATTTAATCACAAAATATGTCACAAAATATATCAATAAAGACATCACTTGAGACCAAAGATGAGGCAAATCATGACATCAAAGAACAGGCATTTGAAAAAACTAACTGTTTATTGAATTTTTAGTATTTTTTGTCTCAAATTTTAGCCACAATTATATGCAAAAGACTCTTTGGATCGTTTTGGTGATGATTTATTCGAATATTTATTATCTTATCTCTCGTTGGAAGACCGCTTCCGATTGGAATCTGTGTCCAAACAGTTCCAGAGGACAGTCTTTGGAAGTGTTGTAGACATTTATATTGACAATAGTTTTATCAAAAACCCTCTAAAGACTCAAATGTTGGCCACAATTGCACTGAAATGTCAAAACATTCGACGCCTCTACTGTCGAGGAATGACATCTGAAGAACTCATTCCCGAAGTGATCAACGCTTTTGGAGACCATTTGCGAGACATTCACTGCACGTTAGGACCAAATAGTAACCAATGGTTGCCTACCTTTGGATCACTTGTCAAAGAAACGGCTCTCAGGGATAGTTCAGCCAAACAGTCACTCATTCATTGCCACCAATTGTCTCATTTACAACTCAATACGTTATCCGATGTCTTCGACACCACTTCCGGGCAATTATTGGCAAAGAATTTACAGACATTTGCTGTCCATTTGAGTCCATCCGATTCGGACTCCGATAACCAACTGTTGCAGGCATTTGTCTCCGGGAATCAGTCCCTCAAACGTATCGCAATTGTTATCGATTGGGATTTACCCGAAATGCGCCGACAATTGTCGCGATTAACACAATTACGAGATTTGAAACTTTATTTTTGGCCAAAGTATAGCCAGAACTCGTTGTCCGAGTGGTTGCGCACAATTGGCCTAAACTGTAAACAATTGAAACAACTGTCGCTTACATTGGGTTTAACTGATTTGCAACTCAATGGCCAGACATTGAATCCCATGAGATATTATAAGCGATTAAAAAGTTTAAAATTAAAGATTTATACCCCAATCGATCACCAATTCTTGGAGCCCTTGAAACTCTGCTACCGATTAACACATTTAACTCTACATTTCAATCCAATGAATGGCAACTCATTTCAAGATTGTGAAAAACATTTGCCGCGACTTCAATGCCTGACAATAGTGTATATCTCTTTATACACGGATTGCAAGTTTTTGAACACCGAGTTTTTGGTTCACATTTCAAGACTACCGGCGCTTCAAATGCTCGCAATCAAGAATTGCCATCAAAGCGATGATCTCTCGGATTATGATTTCAGTCATATGTTGTCCACAAGTCCTAAACTAAAGTGCATTCAATTCAATGGAAATGTTATTTATTGCAGAAGTTCTAACAATGTAAAATCAAGGTCTTGTTGTGTAATATTATAAGTTTAATGGTGGTAAATTGTTGTCTATGTCATATTGTAAGTAATTAATTGTTTAAATTGTTATATTTCTAATATTTAATCTCTTTTTAGTTTAGTTTTATTAAATTTATTATTAAAAATAATTTGAACGTTTTTTTAATATGAATAATAAAATAACTAATGTTTTAATATAAGTTGATGTTTGTTGATTATTTTATTAATTTTAATCATAGTTAAATTACAATCAATAATAATTAATTGATAACTTACTGATAATTATTATTAACATCAAAATAGTTGACTCTATTTTGCCGCGATATGTCCCTGAATAATATCCTTATTAGCGAATGTACGTTTTTGTTTAATCAGTATTAATTTAATCTGAATCTAAACTCAATGTAACCCAAAGTGTTTGTCACCAATCGTACTGAACTGTCATTCACGATTTAATATAAATATTAAATGCTCAAAAAATATTTACCTTCATTGAATTGACATAGTCATAAACTATTAAAATGTCCATAACATATAATTTTGCTGGTAAAGTGGCCCTGATCACTGGGTCAAGTTCGGGCATCGGTGCGGCCACAGCCATACTGTTTGCCAAATCGGGAGCAAATGTTGTGATCACCGGTCGGAACGCCGAGCGAGTGTCAGAAGTGGCCAAACAGTGTCGGGAAGTGTCACCCAATGGATTGAAAGCACTGGAAGTGGTGGCAGACGTGACCAGTGATAAGGATCTTCAGCGACTGGTGGACACAACTATCAAGACTTTTGGCAAAATAGATGTTTTGGTCAATAACGCGGGTATAGCCCGTGGGAGCAAACTTGAAGACAAAGATTACATCGATGTCTACAAAAATATAATGAAAGCAAACTTGGATTCCGTTGTCTTTTTAACACATATTTGTGTCAAACATTTGGAGAAAACTAATGGAAATATTATTAATATATCGAGTATTGCCGGCATTCAAACGGTATTAAAAATAATTTATTTTATTTAATTTTTTATGTTTTTACAACAATATTAGCATTATGTTAATTACCTTAATTATTATTAAATTAGGCACAACAATATTCAGCGTATTGTATGTCAAAGTCAGCGCTGGATATGTTTACCAAATGTATTGCCGCAGAGTTGGGACCCAAAGGCATACGCGTTAACAGTGTTAAGTATGTTTTGAATTACTAACATTTAATATGGTAATCTAAATGTAACATTTATCACCCCTCATAAGTCCGGGTGTCGTCAAAACCAACATAATGGTAGCGGCGGGTGTATCGGAGACCGAGTGCGATAAGGCTAACGAGATGTACGGCCGACTCTACCCAATCGGTCGGTACGGCGAGTCGCCAGACATCGCACACGCGGTCCTGTATTTGGCTTCAGACGAGTCCTCATTCATCACGGGTACAGTCCTGGTGGCCGACGGCGGACATCTGGCCGCTAATGTTAACATTTTTGATTGATTAATTAGCATCTTGCTATTTTATAAAAAATATTAAAACAAAAATATTTAATTAAATCAAAACATGACCAGGTATGATTGTTGAATAAACATATAAAACAATACTTATGTAATTTAAATATACTGTACTTTACAATACATTATATCTAAAGAACAGCCTGCTTTTGTATTTGATCATGTTAACTAATTTTGTAAATTTATATTACTACAAACTAGTAAAGCGAAGTTATTACATTTTTGCTTAAATAAATTATACAATGAGCACTACTATATTAACCATTATTTTACCTTGGAGAAACGTTAATATGTGGGTAAACTTATTTATTTTATGTCATTTTTACAAGATAATTGAACATTATATATTTGTCTGGTCAACACTTAACTGTAGTATAAACATAAATATACTAAACTATCATATTGTAAATTATTCCTAGTGTTAATATGTTATGAAGTTAATACATAAAACATTTAGTCGTGGATACAACAATTTTCAACGTATTACAAAACAAATAATTAATAAAAATATTATTTAAATAAACTAATTTAACCGAATTCTAGCTAGCGTTGCCAGAAATATTTTGGCATTTCCTGGAAAATTTGACAATTTTAGGCAAATTTCCTGGATTCTAGTTTTTAATTATTGCAAAAATACGTTACTGATATTTTTATCGAATTTTGTAATATAACTTCTGTTTTAAAAGTTTTTACAATTGTTACATATAGTGTAAAATGGTCATATCAGTGTTTATACACCTTATCCTCGATTTAAGGAGACTCGATATAAGGATAATTCGATTTAAGAGAGGGTTTTGTGCTGCACCGACCGCTCCTATGAGAGATTAACATTATGGCACTCGATATAAGGAAAATTCGATTTAAGCAAAACTCGATATAAGAGACATACTTTATTACACGCACAGCACAGCTGCACTCTATTTAAGCAAATTTTATTTCAAAAACAGTAAATGAAAACAAGTTTTGTTCAGAAGTGTTGATTAAAAGCAGTAAATAAAAACACGTTTTTCATAAAAGTGTAGATTATTTTCATATAAACACATTTTACCTTAAAAATGGCTGACAAAAGGTCTCGAAATAGATTTTCATTAGAGACTAAGTATAAAGTAATTAAATTAGTAAACAAAAAGTGTTCAAATCAAGAGATAATTAAACAATTTAGTGCTGAAGGTCTCAAGATGTCAAGCATTTATAAGTTTTGTGCCCAAAGAGATACCATTATTAGGAAATTTATGTCAAACACTAATGGCTCTGATATGAGTTTTGAATTAATTAATAAATTAGAGAATGAAATCTATTCTAGTAGACAAAAGTGTTTAAAACAAACTAAAATTACTGATTATATGAATTAAATATAACTTTATCTAATAAAACACGAATTTAATCCTATATTTGTTGTTTTTAATTGAATTTATATGAGACTCGATATAAGGAGAATTCGATTTAAGAGACACATTTCTGTTTCACCAATCATTTCCCTAAATCGAGGATAAGGTGTACTTCTATTGTTAGCAATATCTATAAATTTCATTGAAAACACACTAGGCCATACCTATAGAGTTTGTTAAATACCATTTTTACAGCTCATTTATCCAAAATTTACTTCCTGGATTTTTCAATATCCAGGAATTACCCCTTCCTGGACTCTGCAAAAATGGTCCATTTCCTGGATAATCCAGGACGTTCCTGGACGTTTGGGAACGCTAGAATTTCTAGCTTAACTTTTAAGCGCTATAATAATTTATACTTACCATAACATGAAGTACATACTTAATAAATTTATATAGTATTGCTCTAATTAATACTAACTTGAGAGTTTTGTAATCAACCTTCAACAGTTGATTATTCGTAAATTTATCAGATATTCATAAGTATTGTATATAAATGGATATTTCTATCAATTGAGTGTTATATCTAATAGTTTATATTTACGCTATTAAATAAAATAATTATAATTTATAAATAATCAAAATGTCTGTCACATATAATTTCGCCGGCAAAGTGGCCCTGATCACTGGCTCGAGTTCGGGTATCGGTGCGGCCACAGCCATACTCTTTGCCAAATCGGGAGCCACTGTTGTGGTGACAGGACGTAACGCCGTGAGAGTGTCACAAGTGGCCAAACAGTGTCGGGAAGTGTCACCCAATGGTTTGAAAGCGCTGGAAGTGGTGGCAGACGTGACCAGTGATGAGGATCTTCAGCGACTGGTAAACACAACTATCAAGACTTTTGGCAGAATAGATGTTTTGGTCAATAACGCCGGTATAGGCCGTGGGAGCAAATGTGAAGACCAAGATTACATCGATGTCTACAAAGTTATAATGAAAGCAAACTTGGATTCCGTTGTCTTCTTAACCCATATTTGTGTCAAACATTTGGAGAAAACAAAAGGAAATATCATTAATATGTCGAGTATTTGCGGCATTCAAACGGTATTAAAAATAAATAATTTAATTCTTTATATTTTTACAACAATATTAGCATTATGTTAATCACCTTAATAACAAAGTATAATAATTATTATTAAATTAGGCACAACAATATTCAGCCTATTGTATGTCAAAGTCAGCGCTGGATATGTTTACCAAATGTATTGCCGCAGAGTTGGGACCCAAAGGCATACGCGTTAACAGTGTTAAGTATGTTTAAAATTACTAACATTTAATATCGTTAATTGCATTTAACATGTATCATTCCTTATAAGTCCGGGTGTCGTCAAAACCAACATTATGTTAGCGGCGGGTGTATCGGAGGCCGAGTGCAATAAGGCTAACGAGACGTACGGCCGACTCTATCCAATCGGTCGGTACGGCGAGGGGTCAGACATTGCACACTCCGTACTGTATTTGGCTTCAGACGAGTCATCATTTATCACGGGTACGATTCTGGTGGCCGATGGAGGACATTTGGCCGCTAATGTTAACATTTATCATTAATTAATTAGCATCTTGTTATTTTATTTTTAAAAATTATCAGATATATTGATATATCAATATTTAATTAAATAATAACGTGGTCAATTATGATTATTGAATAAACATATAAAACAATATCTATGTAATATATTTATATATATTTTACAGTGTTGCATATCTGCAGCCTGCTTTTATATTTGGTCATATTAACTAATTTTGTAAATTAATATCACCACAAGTTAGTTAAATACGTTTTTGCTTAAATAAATTATATAATGTACAATACAATATTAGCCATTATTTTACCCAGTAGAAACGTTAAGATGTAAGTAAATTATTTATTTTATGTTATTTTTACAAGATACTTGAACATCATTCTGTTGTATCTTTCTGGTAGACAGGTAACTGTAGTATAAGCATAAATGTACTAAACGATTATATTGGAAATTATTTCTAGTGTAAATGAAATTAATACATAAAATGGTTTAAATAAATTAACTTAATCAAAATTCTAGTTTAGCGTTTAAGCGTTATACGAATTGGTACTTTAAATAACATGCAGTACATAATTATTATACAGTATTGCTAGTAATATTGACTTTGCAATCAACCTTCAACAGTTGATTATTAGTAAATTTATCAGATATTTATAAGTATATAAACGTATATTCCTATCAATTGAGTGTCATATCTAATAGTTTTTATTTAAGCAATTAAATAAAATAATTATAAATAATTAAAATGTCAGTAACATATAATTTTGCTGGTAAAGTGGCCCTGATCACTGGGTCGAGTTCGGGTATCGGTGCGGCCACAGCCATACTGTTTGCCAAATCGGGAGCCAATGTTGTGGTGACGGGACGTAACGCCGGGCGAGTGTCAGAAGTGGCCAAACAGTGTCTCGACCTATCACCCGATGGCTTGAAAGCACTGGAAGTGGTGGCAGACGTGACCAGAGATGAGGATCTTCAGCGACTGGTGGACACAACTATCAAGGCTTTTGGCAAAATAGATATTTTGGTCAATAACGCGGGTATAGCCCTTCGGTGCGCCTTTGATGACCCAAATTATGTGAATGTCTACAGAAATAACATTAAGACAGACTTGGATTCCGTTGTCTTCTTAACCCATATTTGTGTCAAACATTTGGAGAAAACAAAAGGAAATATTATTAATATATCGAGTATTCGTAGCGTTCAGACGGTATTTAATAATATTCTATAATTATCTAAAATAAATATTAATATTTAACTGCTATTTATAAATAATAATATGGTAACTTTAAAATGCATAAATTTAATTATATGAATATAATTATTAAACAGGCGCAGCAATACTCAGCGTATTGTATGTCAAAGTCAGCGCTGGATATGTTTACCAAATGTATTGCCGCGGAGTTGGGACCCAAAGGCATACGTGTAAATAGTGTTAAGTATGTTATATTACTGATTATTATATAAAATAAATTATTTAAAACAAAGTCGGTAAATCAAATTCCTATTGCTATTTACCAACAATTAAGCCCTGGTGTGGTCAGAACTAACATCTTGGTAGGGGCAGGTGCTTCTCAGGCCGATTCAGACCAGGCGTGGGAGCCATACGCCCGACTCTATCCGGTCGGCCGATACGGCAATGTGTCAGACATCGCACACGCGGTCGTGTATTTGGCTTCAGACGAGTCCTCTTTCATCACCGGTACGGCTCTAGTGGCCGACGGCGGACATCTGGCCGCTAATGTTTGATTAATTAATTACAACAAAATATTATTGTATTATTATTGAAAAATTATAATAAAAGATTTTATTGTATAAATTGTTGAGGTCTTTATAACCATTTATGATTATTAAATAAACATGACAATTAACATTAATAAAATTTTAAAATATGTGTACAGCTTGTTTTTCTAGTTGATTATGTAAATTAATTTTACTAGCTGCCAAAAACTAATTGTTTTAAGCCATTTTTATATAAACGTGATTTTGTTTATTAACATAGTTTTGTTATATCTAAATTTAGGAAACACCTAAACTTATAAAGTAGTTTATTCAGTTAGTTTGAAAATATAATTTATCAATTTATCAATCTATTAGAAATTACCACCTAATGTGCATTAACGCATGTAATTTCAAAAATTTCCACTAACTCATATTATCGCTTAAGAAAATCTAACTTAATGTAAATTTTAGTTTAGGGTTTAAACGTTATAGCAATTGGTACTTTATATAATATGCGGTACATAATTACAGTATCAATAATATAAAACTTTATTTTACCACTGCATTCTGTAATATAATCAACCTTCAATAGTTTAATATTAGTACGTTTATCAGATATTTATACAGTATATAAATGCATTTCACTATCAATTAAGTGTTAGATCTAAGTTAATAGATTTATATTTACAAAAGTAAATAAAATTATTATTAACAATCAGAATGTCAGTAACATATAATTTTGCTGGTAAAGTGGCCCTGATCACTGGGTCGAGTTCGGGCATCGGTGCGGCCACAGCCATACTGTTTGCCAAATCGGGAGCCAATGTTGTGGTGACGGGACGTAACGCCGAGCGAGTGTCAGAAGTGGCCAAACAGTGTCTCGACGTATCGCCCGATGGCTTGAAAGCGCTGGAAGTGGTGGCAGACGTGACCAGAGATGAAGACCTTCAACTACTGGTCGACACAACTATCACTACTTTTGGCAAAATAGATATTGTGGTCAATAACGCGGGAATAGCCCTCCGGTGCGCCTTTGGTGACCCGAATTATGTCAATGTATACAGAAATAACATTAAGACAGACTTGGATTCCGTTGTCTTCTTAACCCATATTTGTGTCAAACATTTGGAGAAAACAAAAGGAAATGTTATTAATATATCGAGTGTTCGCAGCGTTCAAACGGTATTTAAATTTTTATAGATTTATTTATTTAAATATCTTAATTTAAAATATGGTACCTTAATTATTAGAGGCAAGATTTTTCAGCATATTGTATGTCAAAGTCAGCGCTGGATATGTTTACCAAATGTATTGCCGCAGAGTTGGGACCCAAAGGCATACGCGTTAATAGTGTTAAGTATGTGCACAATATTTATACATTAGCATGTTAAATACAATTATAGTATAATATTATCATGTTTATCTTATAAATAAATCTCACTGAAGCCCCGGCGCAGTCCGTACTAACATTGCGTACACTTCGGCCGATGAGGGCGCCAAAAATGCCTGGTATGACGATTACGGCAAACTATACCCCGTGGGTCGGGTGGGCGAGGGCTACGATATGGCTAATGCTGTGTTGTATTTGGCTTCACACGAGTCCTCATTCATTACGGGTACGATTCTGGTGGCGGATGGCGGACATCTGGCCGCTAATGTTAACATTGTCAAATAAAATAATTTGATTTAAATTATTGTAAAATGATCACGGTCATTTTAAAAACAGTTAAAAAATTTATTTAAATGTCTTTCAGATTTAGGTTTATGAGATGAAAGTGCCAGTTTTTATATGATATAGATTTTATACATATGTATCTATATTTTAGTTATTAATGTTACAGTTTGTATTTTTATTATAATACTAGATAAATAATAACTCGGAGTAATAGAAGTTGTTGTCCGACTCGAATATGAATAATGATTAGTTGATTAATCAAATGCAAATTAATTACTATAATAGTTGTTAATAAATGTTGATTTAATTTGTAACAAAAATATTTTTAACAAATGAATGAGTCCTACAATAATTACAAAATAACATAAATAATAAAAACTATTGCCTGTTTTTTAAACAGAATATTGTTAGATTTGACCAAGTTATAAATTACATAGATTAAATTTATTTTTATGTTTAATACATTAATTTATAAACTTTACATTATATTTTATGTATTATCTAATGGATATTATTGCAGTTTGATAACAAAGTAAAACTTATACTGTACACTATAAACAAAAATCAGCGCATACTTTTTGCACTTTATGATTTTTATAACACAGTATACATGTATAAAAAGATCTTAATTCAAGAATTATAACATGTAAAAATAACATTCATATCATGTCGATTAAGTTTAATTTTGCTGGTAAAGTGGCCCTGATCACTGGGTCGAGTTCAGGTATCGGTGCGACCACAGCCATACTGTTTGCCAAATCGGGAGCTAATGTTGTGATCACCGGTCGTAACGCCGAGCGAGTGTCAGATGTGGCCAAACAGTGTCTCGACGTATCGCCCGATGGCTTAAAAGCGCTGGAAGTGGTGGCAGACGTGACCAGTGATGAGGATCTTCAGCGATTGGTCGACACAACTATCACTACTTTTGGTAAAATAGATATTTTGGTCAATAACGCGGGAACCGATGAGTCAATGTTTTTTGTGGACACGGATTATATGCAAAGCTATCGAAGAGTGCTAAACATGAACTTAGATTCCGTTGTCTTCTTAACCCATATTTGTGTCAAACATTTGGAAAAAACTAAAGGAAATATCATTAATATATCGAGTATTAATAGCGTTCAAACGGTACTTAAATAATTATCTAAATTATTAATTAATTTGTTAATCAATTTACATTTTTAATTATAAATGTAAAGTTAAATCAATTCTCGTCATATTGTATGTCAAAGTCAGCGTTGGATATGTTTACTAAATGTATTGCCGCAGAGTTGGGGCCTAAAGGCATACGTGTAAACAGTGTTAAGTATGTGTTTAGTAAAAATTAAATGATGATAATTTTTAAAATTAACATGAGTGTATTTTACAGTCCAGGTGCCGTAGAAACAGGCAATGCATTAGAGAGTACAGACAATTTACCCGATGTTTATAACAGCGACTGTTACGCAAAATTATACCCTGTGGGCCGGTATGGTGTGCCCAATGATATCGCTAATGCTGTACTATATTTGGCATCTAATGATAGCTCATTCATAACGGGTACGGCTATTGTGGCCGATGGCGGGCACCTGGCGGCCAATGTCAACATTAATAACTAAGATCTTTTTATGAGTTATTATTATCGAGCTTAATTCATTTGTTACCTATTACTAAATAAATAATAATAATCCATATTGCTTGTATTATTTTAAGCCTATGATAATAATTTTATATGAATTGACTATATTTTGAACTATGGCTTTTTATATTAAATTGTAATTTAAACTATGTTAAATAGGAATAATAAATATATCAATAAAATTTTACAATTCATTAATTAAGTAATTTAAATTACATGTATAAAATTTACTACAAAAATAACTTGATTGCTGTATGATGACAATATTATTTTGAGTGTTAGTTTTCAAGGATTTTTATGTTACCATATTTAGTTAGTAATGCTTGTGAGTCTATCAGCATCATTTCTACTGTAGATACATTGGTTTTATCAGATTTCAGGGACATTAAGGTGAGTTTTACAATCAAAACTATTTATCAAATTTAATATAAATTATAATTCAAATAAATATAACACAATTAATGTTTAATAAATGTTAAGATAAAAATTAGTACTACATTTACAAATAATTACTTACATTTACAATTACAACTACAAAATTTGTATTAGTAGTACAAACTAGTATTTAATACTAATACACAATACATGTTGTATTATAACTTTAGCTTAATTTTAATTACTATTTATAATCAATTACTTATTAAAAGTAAGTAGGAAAATAAAAAGCAAATATAAAATAAATATATCAGATAACAAAGTAATTTGCAATAGAACTTAATAAGTGGGTAATGATCTAAAAATCTAGGTGCATTACTAAAGGACCTGCTAAGAAACATAATATTTAGCATTACTGTAGTTAATACGTTAATACTGTAGTTAATATCAAAAAAGACCTTCAAAAGTTTACTTTTAGTTCTATTATAGTACCACATAATTTAGCCTTTATAAACGAATTGAAAACATATACTAATACAGTATAATCATTATTACAGACAAAAGTTATATTGAATCAATAGTTTGAATCAACATAAAGCAAAATGTCTGTTACATATAATTTTGCCGGCAAAGTGGCCCTGATCACTGGGTCGAGTTCGGGTATCGGTGCGGCCACAGCCATACTGTTTGCCAAATCGGGAGCCAATGTTGTGATCACCGGTCGTAACGCNTCTAACAATATTCTGTTTAAAAAACAGGCAATAGTTTTTATTATTTATGTTATTTTGTAATTATTGTAGGACTCATTCATTTGTTAAAAATATTTTTGTTACAAATTAAATCAACATTTATTAACAACTATTATAGTAATTAATTTGCATTTGATTAATCAACTAATCATTATTCATATTCGAGTCGGACAACAACTTCTATTACTCCGAGTTATTATTTATCTAGTATTATAATAAAAATACAAACTGTAACATTAATAACTAAAATAT